ACACACACACACACACACACACACACACACACACACACACACACACACTTGATGTAGGTCGAACAGAAAAGAAATAAGTCTATAATTACAAAGGTTTTGAACTCTAAAATTAAGAGAGAAGCATTGTGGATCAATGCTTGAAATTGGGATCAATTCTTGAAATTGGAATGCTCTAAATGGCACATCAATAACAGATCAATTATGTATTTCTGCCCAGGATCACGGGTAGGGGAAGGGGGGAAACTGAGGCAGCAAGCATGTCAATGATTAGGTCAGAACAAACATGCACTCTCCACCCAGGACGAGCTGGCAACAGACACAGCAAGAAGAGAAAGACTCTGAATCGTTCCAGACTGTTCTAGATTATTCTATACTGTCCTAGACTGTTCCAGGCTATGCTCAGACTTCCCCCGGAAGGTTCCAGATTGTCCCAGACTGTTCTGGATTATTCCAGTCTATTCTAAGACTTCCCCCAGAAGATTCCACATTGTTCTAGATTGTTCCAGACCATTCTGGACTTGAGCTGAGAACGGTGGCAGGTGTTAGAAAAATGACTCCAGGCTGAGCAGATATAGGCCCTGGGAATTGGGGGAGACAAAACCTTCTTTTTCAAAACTGGAGTCTGGGTTCCCTGAAGATGGAAGGAGTATTCGAGCACAGGATTTCTGGGTGCACAGGGCCGTTTCCTGAAGAAGATCACTGTCTCTGCACCCCCTCTTACAAAGCCAAACGCTGAAAGCCCTCAGCAACTCTCAGATCTCCTTAGAACGTGCCCGCCGAGCTAATGCCAACTTAAAGCCTCGGGTCACTCATTTTTTTTTGGAGGGGTCCCACCCAACGATGCTCAGGGCTGACTCCAGGCTCTGCACTCAGGAATCACTCCTGACAGTGCTCACGGGACCCTGTGGGATGCTGGGGATCGAACCCGCAAGGCCAACGCCCTCCCCGCTGTGCTATTGCTCCAGCCCTGGGTCACTCATTTCTTGCAAGCTGGTCTTGGCATCTGCCCTGCTGGCCTCTGCATGACCCCAACAGGCCTGCTGACCACTGTCCTCCTGCCGAGAGAAGGAAATTCCAACGCGGAGACCGGCCTCTGACTCTGCGCCTTCAGAGTCACGACTGGGCGCAGGAAACGGTCCAGCTTTGGGCTGAGCAACAGGACAAGCTGTGGAGTTGGATCCCTTATCAAAAAAATCACGGTATTGGGGCTGGAGCGATAGCACAGCGGGGAGGGCGTTGGCCTTGCACGCGGTCTGACCCGGGTTCGATTCCCAGCATCCCATAGGGTCCTCTGAGCACCGCCAGGAGTGATTCCTGAGTGCATGAACCAGGGGTAACCCCTGTGCATCGCTGGGTGTGACCCAAAAAGCAAAAAAAAAAAAATCTACAGTATCAAATTGACTTCCGGGAAGAGGAAAGGGGGTCCCCCAGGCTAGCAGTCCTGGGTGTTGGACAGAGTCTATCTACTCCCAGAGCAGGCGGTCTCTTTAAGGAACCAAAACATCCCTACCCCAAATGGTCTCACAAACACAAGCTCCACCATTTGCTTGGGCCAGAGACAGAGCACACCAGGTACTGCACTTGCCTTGCAATGCGGCCGACCCGGGTTCGATCCCCGGCATCCCATAGGGTCCCCCGAGCACCGCCAGGAGTGATCCCTGAGTGCAGAGTCTGGAGAAACCCCTGAGCATCACCAGGTGTGGCCCAAAAACTAAACCCCCCAAAATAAACAACACCCCCCTCCTTTTGGCTAGTAGTGACATTCCCAGTACGCCCCCAGAACAACAAAATTTTAACGAACATCTCCAGGAAAACGATCACAACATCTGTGTACATAGCACACGAGAGAAAAAGCGCTTCCGAATCCTTTCCGAGCAGACGTCTCACTCCTTCACAGTCCCTGAGCCTGAACATGCGGTCCTCAAGGTTCCGAAAACACTTTTCAGAACAGTCCAGAAAAGTCTGAAACCATCTGGAATAGCCTGGGGGAAAGGTTTGGAATAATCTGGAATGAGCCAGAACCACCTGGAATACTCAGGAATGATCCAGAACTGTCTGGAATAATCTGGAGTCCTTTGCTTTTAAACCACAAGCATCAGGCCACGTGGTTTTCGTGAGAAACAAACTAGAACTCAGAAAGCAGAAACCAATGTCTGGGATGGAACAAAACGAAACCCAGACGTGGGGCTGGCCCAGGGACAAAGCCCGGTTGAGTTCTCATTTGGTTTCTGCTATTTTTGATTTTCATGGAAACCATGGCCCGATGCGTGTCGTAAAAGCAAAGGACTCCAGATCACTCCAGACAGTTCTGGATCATTCCAGAGTATTTCAGACAGTTCTAGATTATCCCGGATGGTTCTGGATCATTCCAGAGTATTCCAGATTGTTCTGGATGGGAACAGGAGCAGACCCCCAACCTTCTCCCTCCAAAATCAGGAACCTACAGTGTCTGAGCAACAACTACTTCGGGACACTGGAGTACGGGATCTTGGACGGGCAAATGGTAACAGATGACCAGAAGGACACACGGGAAAGTGATTGAGGCGAAAGTCCTCTGTCCACTGACACTGGGTGATCTCAGGACACTTCTTTATGCAAAAGGCCCACGCAGGGGTTCTTCTCGTTTGGGGACCACACCTCACAGTGCTCAGGGCTGACTCCTGGCTCTGCACTCAGGAATCACTCCTGAAGCAATTCTGTGTTCATATATTTTGGAGTTTACACGGCCTATATATTTAAATTTCCCCCTTACACTTTACGTAAACTCTGGGGTTCACCAAGTTGTTCGTGATGATTTGTTATAGGCAATCAATATTCCAACCCCAATCCCTGCTTTAGAAGTGTTATGTCACTGTCACTGTCCTCCCGTTGTTCATCAATTTGCTCGGGCGGGCCCAGTAACATTGTGAGACTTGTTCCTGTGTTTGGCATCTCGAATACGCCACGGGGAGCTTGCCAGGCTTTGCCGTGCGGGTGTGATACTTTCGGTAGCTTGCCGGGCTCTCCGAGAGGGGTGGAGGAATCGAACTCGGGTTGGCTGTGTCGGCCGTGTGCAAGGCAAACGCCCTACCCGCTGTGAGCCGAGATTATTGCCGTTATTACCATATGGCGATCCAAGTATGAAATAAAATTTAATATACTGTATATTCCTGAGTTGAAATTAGGCATTTTTATATTGTATTTAATTTCTTATTGACATAGGTCAAAATCATACAGTAATCACCAATTTAGCCCTTACTGATTTATTTTCTGATCATTCTATTTGCCAGTTTCTTATAGTTTTGTTGGAATAAGCAATAGAAAGTCAACTATTATGTAACAAAGGGGGCAGACTGGCACCAAGAGGAAATATTAGAGATTAAAAAAAAATCACTGCTCACGGGGCTCGGGGACCCTCTGGGGTGCTGGGGATCGGATCCAGGTTGGCGGCATGCCGGGCAAACACCCTCCCCACCGGACTATCTCTCCAGCTTCGGTCGCTAACCACTGCGCTACCCATGTATACACTTGTACTCATGAGTTAAAGGGCGGTGAGCGGTGGCAGCTGGGGAGGCCTTGATCCAGCATTAAGAGCCGTAATCCTCTGAGTCATCTCCCTGCCCCCGCCAACACACACACAGACACACATACACACTCACATTCAGACGCATACACTCACACACACACACTCATAGACTCACACATGCACATACACACAATCACACACTCACACATGCACATACACACTCACAATCACACATACCTCACACACATACACACATACACACACACACACACACACACACACACACACACACACTTCCTGACTTTGAAAGGCTGCCTTGCTCTGTTGGACAACCAGGTCGTGTGGGCCCACAGAATGCCACCCGTTTGCTGGAGGTAGCCCTGGGTTGACAGGCTGGGAGCTTGGCACCAATGTTCTTTCTCGTTTTTGATGTCTGAGCCATATTCGGTAACACCTTGGCTGGCATCTGTTAGAGGCTGGGGGTCCTGGCGGGGCCGGGATGGGACCCGGGCACATGCCCCAGCTCCTCGTCATTCAGGCTGGGCTCTCTCGCTCAGCCCTGCGTGAGAGTGAGTGTATTTGTTGTGGGTCCCACCTGGCAATGCTCAGAACTGACTCCTGGCTCTGCACTCAGGGATTACTCCTGGCGGGGCTTGGGGGACCCTATGGGATGCCGGGGATCGAACCCGGGTCGGCCGTGTGCCAGGCCAACGCCCTCCCTGCTGTGCTATCACTCTGATCCCAGCAAATAAGTATTTCATTTCTGCATTTTGGGCCACACCCGGCGATGCTCAGGGCTGACTCCTGGCTCTGCGTTCAGGGATCACTCCTGGCGGGGCTCGGGGGACCCTATGGGATGCCGGGGATTTTGTAAAAGACCATTCTGAGACCCCTGGGAATTTGTATTTTTTTTTTAAATCTTTACAGCTCACCTACAAAGGAATTCTTCCACTCTCTCACCCATGGAATCTCATTCTGAAATCGACTTACCCCACTGGACACCCCAAGCTGCTGTTTGGCCTCAGATCATACCAGCTTTTTCCGAATTTAATGCAAATGTGGGACTATCCTGCCAACTACACTGGAAGGGAGAATTTTTTTTTAAAAAACTAAACTGGGCTCAGAGCAATAGTCCAGCGGGGAGGGCGTTTGCCTGGCACGTGGTCGATGAAGGTTCAATCCCCGACATCCCATAGGGTCCCCGAGCACCACCAGGAATGATTCCTGCGTGCAGAGCCAGGAGTCAGCCCTGAGCATCGCCAGGTGGGACACCCCCGCCCCCAAGCCAAATAAAATAAAACAGGAAAAATAAAGGAATCATTTCCCGGCCGATGCTCGCCATCGGAAAACAGATCAAAGAAGAACACCCACTATGCGCCTCACCCGTCTTGACCAGTACCCCTCACCCACCCCGGAGTTCAGCAGTGCAAGTTTCCCGTTGTCCCCGACAGGAAAAACCCCGGAACACCCAAGTCAGGGTCCCCGGGCCACTCACCACCAAACACATCTCCGTTCTGATAGTTCTTCCCTTTCTGCGCTTCTTCTTCGCTTTGAACAGAGGCTACATGCTTGGCGGAGGTACAGCCCATAGTCTTATGTGGTTCGCTGCCGCCGGGCTGAGCTGCAGGTCATCGCTACAGACACAGGGCAACACGCATCGTCCTCAAGCCCAGAGAGAAGCCACGGTCCCGCGGGCTCGGTCACGAGGTCCCTGTGGGCGCAAGAGAGCCCCGTCAGCAGGAAGCAAGACCCGTGCGTGTGTGCGTGCGTGCGTGCGTGCGTGTGTGTGTGTGTGTGTGAGCCGTGAGACCCCCCCAACCTTCACCCTCATTTGTCCGAGGGCCGAGCTCGTGCATCTCTGTCTGCACCGGCTCATGTGCACGTTCGATGAGTGAGCAGTGCTCAATCCACCGTGCTCCTCAAAAAGTGCTCCCACACCCTCTCCCTCTGTCTGCCCCGTCGCTCCATCCTGCCTTTTTTTTTTTTAAATTGCTTCTTTGGGCCACACCGGGCGATGCTCAGGGGTGACTCCTGGCTCTGCACTCAGGAATTACCGCTGGAGGGCCTGGGAGACCCCATGGGATGCCGGGGCTCGAACCTGCGTTGGCCGGGAGCCAGGAGAGGGGTTTTGCCTCTCTTACTACTGTGCAATTCCTTGAATTTACTTTCCCAACCGGCCCAATGCAAACCCCAAGAGTCAGGTGAGTTGGGGGGAGGGGTGAAGAACTCCACCGTCTCCCCGTGAGACACTGCCAGGTTTGTCTCTTGAGGCGCGGATGGAGATATGGTGGTTTGTGTGTTCTGGTTCTGCTTCTGTCTGGGGTGGCCACGCCCGGGGGTGGGAGGATGGGTCCATGCGTGATGCCGGGGACGGAACCGGGCTTGGCCCCCGGCACTCTCTGCAGCCCTGAATGTTCTGGATTCGGGGAGAACCCCTCCCCCCTCCTTCCCCAACACCTCACATGCTGCAAGGAGAGGGGACCTCCCTCCCCAGCCGGACCACACCTGCTGCGGGTGGCCTCCGTGAGGACCCAGGACTGCCCACCTCCCCCAGGGGACGGCAGATTCGAGAGAGACACGAGTGTTTCCCAGCCGGCTGGCCAGTGGCATCCCATAATCCTCCACCGTCCAGGCATCCCATAATATGCTGTATCCTAGCATCCCATACATCCCACCCCTTATCCATACACCTCGATACGCCACTATCTGCACTTCATAATAGTCGGCCGTATTGCACCCCATATGCCGTGACCTAATCGTTCCGTAACAGCCAATGGTCCATTCATCCCGACCCAGCCCATGGTCCATCCATCCCGACAGAGCCACATGGTCCATCCCTCCTGACACAGTACATGGTCCATCCATCCCATCACAGCTCATGGTCCATCCATCCCATCACAGCCCATGGTCCATCCAACACAGCCCATGGTCCATCCATCCCATCACAGCCCATGGTCCATCCATCCTGACACAGTCCATGGTCCATCCATCCTGACACAGTCCATGGTCCATCCATCCTGACACAATCCATGGTCCATCCATCCTGACACAATCCATGGTCCATCCATCCTGACACAGTCCACGGTCCATCCATCCCATAGTAGCCCATGGTCCATCCATCCCATCAGAGCCCATGGTCCATCCATCCCATCAGAGCCCATGGTCCATCCATCCCATCAGAGCCCATGGTCCATCCATCCTGACACAGTTCATGGTCCATCCATCCCGTCATAACTAATGGTCCATCCATCCTGTCACAGCCCATGGTCCATCCATCCCATCGTAGCCCATGGTCCATCCATCCCTTAGTAGCCCATGGTCCATCTATCCCATCACAGCCCAATGTTGATGCATCCCCTAACTTACACCATCTATGGATCAAGGAACATGGATCCCAAAAAGTACCATGATCAGCACATCCCACAAAAGTTCCTTAACCGTGCACCCCCTAAGCTCCACCTTAATGCACCCCACAATTTATCATTGTTGTTGCTTGATCTGGGATCTTCGTCCTACAGCTATGTCTTTTGGAAAGTGAGTCTGCCTTTTTTTTTTTTTTTTTTTTTTTTTGCTTTTTTGGGTCCCACCCGGCGATGCTCAGGGCTGACTCCTGGCCTTGCACTCAGGAATCACTCCTGGTGGTGCTTGGGGGACCCTACTGAGATGCCCAGAGATCGAACCCGGGTCAGCTGCATGCAAGGCACACACACTCCCCACTGTCGTATCGCTCCAGCCTCAGTAACTCTGCTTTTATTTTTGGGATGGGGACTTGGAGGTAAGAGAGACGGTTGGTGGTTGGTGTCTGTTTTCTTGGGCGTGAGTTTCTGAACAGGAAGCCACTTCCTGAGTGAGCCGCTTTGGTAAGATCGGGAAGGAACCCGAAATAGCAAGATCTGCTCAGAGGAAAATCACAGCTAGCTGCCCTTTTTGTTGTTTTGTTTTGTTTTTGTTTTCCCCCAAAAGGTCATGGCAAAGTACGTCTATTTCTTGTTTGTTTGTTTGGGTTTGGGGCCACACCCCATGAGGCTCAGGGGTCACTCCTGGCTCTGAATTTCAGGGTCACTCCTGGGATGCCGGGGATCAAACCCAGGTGGGCTGCATGCCAGGCAGGGTCCTACCTGCCGTACTATCGCTCCGGCCCCCAAACTCCTACTTTTCTGACCCTTTTCCAGCCATTTGCTTCAGCTTTCCTATGGGGGGCAGCTGAATCAAATTTTCTGGAAAATGTCCCCTTTTCAAAACAACTGACCCGGGGCTGGAGCAATAGCACAGCGGGTAAGGCGTTTGCCTTGCACGCGGCAGACCCGGGTTCAATTCCCAGCATCCCATAGGGTCCCCTGAGCACTGCCAGGAGTGATTCCTGAGTGCAGAGCCAGGAGTAACCCCTGTGCATCGCCGGGTGTGACCCAAAAAGCAAAAAACAAACAAACAAAACCAATATTATCAACCACAGAACCTCAATAAAAAAAATTTTTTTTCCAACAGGAATTAAACATAAATCAACTCCATAAAAAAAAAATTGGTGGCAATGAGGCTGGAGGGATAGTTTGGTGGGAAAGTCTTGCCCTGCAAGCAGCCTGCCTAGGTTCAAACCCCAGCATCCCAGACAGTTTCCTGAGTCCTGCCGGGAAGGATCCCTGAGCACAGAGCCAGGAGTCAGCCCTGAGCACCGTAGGGTGTGACCCCAACACCAAAAACAAACAAATGAGAAAAAGAAAAAAAAAGCTAAGTTCATTTTTCACCCATGACTCAGGGGAAAAAAAAAAAAAGTTCGTCTAAGTCATCTTAGACCATTGAAAATCGAGTTTGGGACCTAAAAAGAACCAAGAGATCAGGACATAAAATTTTCCAGCCAGCGGATTTAGGGGCAATGTTTATGGCAGGTCTGGTCGACCCCCAAAACCTGGGCTATTAACGTCCACTATCATTTGGGGAAAAGAGACGCTAATTTTGTTTTCAATGTTCCATGAGGGCACAGAAAATGGAGAAATGGGGCTGGAGCGAGAGCACAGCAGGGAGGGCGTTGGCCGGGCACACAGCCGACCCGGGTTCGATCCCCGGCATCCCATAGGGTCCCCTGAGCACCGCCAGGAGTGATCCCTGAGTTCAGAGCCAGGAGTCAGCCCTGAGCATCGCCAGGTGGGACCCAAAAAGCCAAAAAAAAAAAAAAGTGGAGAGGTGGGCCCCAATCTGGCTGTGCATTTTGTGATTTTCCAAGTGAGGTCAGAGCAACTAGTTCCATCCGACCCCCCTGAACTCAGCGTGGGCTGCGATTTTAATATTTGATCAACTTTCCATGACAAAGATCTATTTAAAGAACCGTGTCCTCAAGAGGCATCATCTTCTAGGTTGCCCAGATCAATACGTTTTAACCTATGGGGTTAAAAACAAAACAAAACAAAATAAAAAAAACTGAAGCAAAACCCCAAAGGGCATTGGTCCGTGAAGCTCTCCAGAATCTGAGAACATCATTGATCTTGTGAGACTCTGGCAAAAAGAAACAAAACAAAACAAAAACAAAAAAAAGCAGTCTTCCACACAATTCAGCATTTCTCCAAATCGAGAAGGGGATGAGAACAGGACAGGTGTGGGATGTCAATACTCGGGCTTTGGGGCTGGAGCGACAGCACAGCAGGGAGGACGTAGGCATGGCATGCGGCAGACCCGAGTTCGATCCCCGGCATCCCATAGGGTCTCTCCTGAGCACCGCCAGGAGTGATTCCTGAGTGCAGAGCCGGGACTCAGCCCTGAGCATCGCTGGGTGGGACCCAAAAAGCAGGAAAAAAAAAATTAAAAAAATAGAAATTAACTTTGCAGACAGAGTTATGAGAATCAGAGAGATGGGAGTGAAAAAGTATCAGAAACCACAGTGCCAGACAGGGTGAGGGAGAAGGAAAAAAGAAAATAGTGTTCAGGGATGGAGCAATAGCACAGTGGGGCGGGCGTTGGCCTGGCACGCGGCTGACCCGGGTTCGATCCCCGGCACCCCATAGGGTCACCCGAGCACCACCAGGAGTGATTCCTGAGTGCAGAGCCGGGAGTCAGCCCTGAGCATCGCTGGGTGTAACCCCAAAAGCAAAATAATAATAATAATAATCTTGTCCATCACCCAGTTCAGCACCTTGATCAATATCTTGTCCATCTATTGGTCCTGGAGCAATAGCACAGCGGGGAGGGCGTTTGCCTTGCACGCAGCTGACCCGGGTTTGATTCCCAGCATCCCACAGGGTCCCCCAAGTACCGCCAGGAGTGATTCCTGAGCGCAGAGCCGGGAGTCAGCCCTGAGCATTGCTGGGTGTAACCCCAAAAGCAAAATAATAATAATAATAATAATATCTTGTCCATCACCCAGTTCAGCACCTTGATCAATAATAATATCTTGTCCATCACCCAGTTCAGCACCTTGATCAATATCTTGTCCATCACCCCAGTTCAGCACCTTGATCAATATCTGATCCATCTATAGGTCCTGGAGCAATAGCACAGCGGGGAGGGCGTTTGCCTTGCACGCAGCTGACCCGGGTTCGATTCCCAGCATCCCACAGGGTCCCCCGAGTACCGCCAGGAGTGATTCCTGAGCGCAGAGCCGGGAGTCAGCCCTGAGCATCGCCGGGTGGGACCCAAAAAGCAAAATACTTTCGCGTTTATCTTCCCATCTCAGGCCCCAGGCCCCCAAGTGCCCCCAGTCTCTGCAAGAGGAGCTGACCCCTC